ATCGATCGGTCCCTGGACCACTTCCCGGAAAAAATGGGTCATATATGCTAAAAAGCTACTTACGTACTAAATTTTAAGCAAATCGGACTATAATAAAATTTTTTCGAATAGACCGGTCCCTGGTCCACCTACCCGAAAAAAAGTAAAATTTTTTTTAGCCTAAAACATGGTGGTTACCGAAAGCTATTTGTATACAAAATTTCATGAAAATCGGACCAGCCGTTCGCGAGATTACCTGTTACAAAAAAAAGTGACTTCTCTTTATACAATTAGTATAGACTAGTATAGATAGAATACATTAGATGTAGTTCATGTACTTTTACAATACTAGCCGTCATCGATTCGCCACTCCTCGCTCGCTATGTTTGAGTTCCGCTCGCTTAATGAAGAATTTTGCATGTGAAAGCAACAACAAAGTTAGCTAGCACGGATAGACGATAGCGAGTTTGGTTGTACCTCATTGAGTTCGTTCGTTTCGACACTCGCTAACTGTTGGCGAATCGATGACGGCCACTGTTTTCGTCTTAAGTTGTACATATGTTTTCTTTAATAAATATCAAATATTAAAAATATGATCTGTCAAAGTTTGAATTTTTTCGTGATTCTGACTAATCATGTTCTAATGAAAATCGTTATATTTCGGGTTCTGCTCATCTTAGAGACTTCAGCTTAACGTCGTTCTAAAGCTAAAGAAACGGGCATAACATCTTACTAATATTATAATTGTGAAAGTTTGTATGTTTGGATGTTTGGGAAATCATCACGCGGAAACGACTAAACGGATTTGCATGAAATTTGGTAGGCAGATAGCTTATGGGCCAAATTGGTTAATAGGCTATTCCTTTAAGAGGTGCCATTTGTTAAAAAAGTTGAATTTATTTAATATGCGGGAACGACTGAATGGATTTGCATGAAAATTTGCACACAGATAGCTTATGACCTATCCAGGTATAATATTTGTATGGAAAGATTTTTCTTTAAGGCGACAAACCCCTAGAAATAGGCGTGGCAATTGTAGGACTAAAGTTAGCAAAACGTGGATTTTATCACTTCCTTAACAACATTTGTTCCTCACATTTTTCAATCAACCAAAGTTCAAAAATTTAGACTTTATTGCGGATTTTGCCAGAATATCAATATGGATTGAAAAGGCCGTGGAACAAATATTGTTAACTAAGCGATATTCTGCCGAAATCCGGGATAAAATCTACGTTCCGCTAACTTGAGTCCTACAATTGCCACAACCATTTCTAGGGGTTTGTCGCCTTAAAGAAAAATCTCGTCATAAAAATATTAAACCTGGATAGGTATTCTATCGGAATCTGCAATAAAATTTATATTCTTGCAAGAACCCGATGTTGAATACCTCACTAAATATATCTCATCATAAGTTTTCGAAAACAAATTAAAAACGATTTTTGACACTAACAAAAAAACCATCTCGTCATAAAAAAAATATTTTAAAAAAAGTTATTGAAAACGCACAATTTTTGGAAACATGTTTTTACAGAGAATTAAACAAGGAATACGATGGTATAATTTTAAATCCCTAATTTACTGGTCTTCGCTATGCAGAGCATCTTTAAAAAGTTCAACTGTTAATAGCTAAGTTAGCTTTAGGATAATCATGACCATCTTATATAGAGAAATGTTTCTTTTGCTTAAAAAACGACGTTAAGGTGAAGTCTCTACGATGAGCAGAACCCGAGATATAACGATTTGAAGAAGTACATGATTAGTCAGGATCACGAAAAAATGCAAACTTTCACCCCTATTCTGCAGCACTTTCATATTCGGAGTTTGCTACGAATCGTAGAAATGGGATACTGGAATCCGAATCGTATTTTCGAACTTTCGAAATTCGTAACAATGGCAAGCCTACGATCACATCACAACATGTAGAAATAAAATTCTGGGTTGCAATATCTTCGACTATCTCGAGGCGAGAAATTGAATGTTTGTATTCAAGTTGCTCGAGTGGAATACACATACATAAATACCTTTGTGACAAACTGATATGACCGGTGTCACGTAGACATCATAGCCTTATTGTTCTTAAGCATACCTATCTAACCTCATCAAGGACGTTTTTCGTTAACGCTGTGAGACTCTGGAACACGCTGCCTGATTCGCTAAAGGTGGAACTGAATAGAGACAACTACAAAACAGCAATTCTTTGTTACTTATGTGAGCTGCAGTAACATACTGGTTTAATATTCTCTGACTTCTCTCACTTCTTTTCTTTTTTCACATTGAAAAGCGTGGGGCGCATGTAATAGACCAGAATTGATATGAAGGGTAATATATGTATGTATGTATGTGGATATATGAATAACGACCGCTTAAAACCGATCTCAAATTTGTACTTTCTCTGTAGAAATTTTAGGTCCATGTTATGTAGTTTGACTATTGTCAATTAAATCGAATGCTTTATATTGCATGCGCCCCACGCTTTTAATTTTCAGTCTCATAAATTGTTTATAATGACTTTTGCTAAAATTTCAAAATCAAAAGTTATCAAAACGAATTCTATGGGACTGAGAATTATTATTTTCTGCTTTTTAGTCCATTTATAAAAGCGTTGAATATTAAAAAGTGTTTTTTTTTTTGTATTATTTATTTTATTCAACAAGTTTTATGAGCTTGAGGCCGTTTTAAGTGAAAACTTATTGTGGAAAAGCAACAATAATTAAAAAAAATGGTAAAAGTGATAGCTATTTCGGAAATCCCCACATTTCCTCATCAGACTTCTTTCAGTAGGATTCGAACCGACGATCACCACTGACTCAGCCAGTTGCCTACGCACTGTGCTAAGTTTGCCTTGTTAATTCTTGTTGCTTATTTCCACTATATCACTTTGCTAAGCCAACTACAATCATGCGCAGCTATTCCGCTGCAATTCACTTGATCATGTGGTTGTTGGTTTTTGTTAATATTTCTATTATTAGAATGTTTAACTTTTTGGTGTGCGCGTCCTTAAATTATTTGTTTTTTCATATTTTATGGCCTTATAACAATTATATTCAACAATTTGTATGAGCTTGAGGCCGTTTTAAGTGAAAACTTATTGTGGAAAAGCAACAATAATTTGAAAAAATGGTAGAAGTGATAGCTATTTCGGAAATCACCACATTTCCTCATCAGACTTCTTTCAGTAGGATTCGAACCGACGATCCCACTGACTCAGCCAGTTGCCTACGCACTGTGCTAAGTTCGCCTTATTCATAAAAATTGTTGAATATAATGGTTATAAGGCATAAAATAACAAAAAACAAATTATTTATTTTCTACTTTTTAGTCTTGTCTGTATAAAATTTTGCAATAGATATTGTCTAAGATTCTACTTTAACTAAAACTACGCCATTTGAATCACCCTGTAATTTACTTTTTGCTTTTCTCTATTATTTCTATTCGGAGTAAATTGATCTGTCATTTTTCTGATTTCCTCCTTCTCAACTTGGACTTTTAATTAATTGGATGTGCGATTAAGCTGAGCTCACGATTTTTATTACACATTTTGGTGCCTCCTGTGAGGCCTTTTAATAAACGCAATATAACTTCAGCTTAATTAGCACTTTTCGACGCACAAGTACTTTGGTTTGGATCGGGCCTGATTTCGCAGATAATTGTGGATATTTTCTTCGATCTCGGAAATGACAGAAATAAATCTGCGAAAGTTCCATGCGGCCGCTATTTTGCGGATGTATGTGCAAGTAAAGGAGGCAAAGCCTGGTGAGCTCAACGTCACCCAAATTGATCAACGCTTAAAATCTGCTGCAGTGCATTTTGATCGGATGCTCAGCAATCATGAGACTTTGCCGCAGCCAAGGAGGATGAAGTAGAGGTCCATACGGTGTGGTGGGACTCCACCGAAGCTACCTACATGGACTTGTGCGCAACGCTGAATCAACTTCGAAAGGGATTTGAGTGTGATTCACAGTCGTCAACCAACAAGGCTTCGCCGATGGAATTAAAATTAGAGCCACTTTGTATACCATCATTTGACGGCTGCCCCCATAAGTGGCTTGCATTCAAGGATTCGTTTGAGACGTTGGTACATAATCGGGATTTGCCGGTGGCTTACAAGCTGGGGAAACTACGCCAAGCTGTTAAGGCAGAGTCGGTTCCGTTAGTAGGAGGGTTGTATTCAAGTGGGTACGAGGAAGTGTGGAAGGCGCTGAAAGATCGGTATGACAACCCTAAGCAATTAGCGGAGATTCACGTTGCTAGATTTTTGAACATGAAGTGAATGGCTGAGGATACGTCCAAGGAATTATTGGGCGTCGTTGATGTGGTAAACGAATCCTTGCGAGCGTTAGCGGTAATGAAGTTACCTGTCGACAAGTGGGATGCCCTTACCGTACCCATTGTGGTTTCTAAACTCTCCGCTAGAACACAGCGAGAATGGTGTATGCATTGCTCTCCCACCGAGCTATCAACTTTAATTGCCTTGCTAGCGTTTATAGAGAAACGAGCACATAGTCTCCCGACTGAGTTTTGTCAGGTAGCGGATCGTCCCGAAGTGCCGCATTCTTCCTCAAAGCAGAAGAACACTCCCCGCTCTCTAAAGTCCAACCTCGCCACGACTGGCGATGGCAAATGCCAGCACTGTCAAGGACCACACAAGGTTATGCGTTGTCCGGCCATTCTGGCTATGAAGCCGGATCAACGCTTTGAAGCTCTAAAGCGGTCGAATTTGTGCTTTAACTGTTTGCGATGCGGACACCCATCTAAACTATGCTCCTCCGGCAACTGACGCCAGTGCGGGCACAGACATACGATTTTTTGCCGCCACAAATCTCAGCAACTTAGTTCATCTGACGGGGTAGATACTCCTATGGCTAAGCCAGACCAGCCAATATATAGCCAATCCAGTCCCACCATCATTATGACTAACAAGCAATACAACCATTACCAACGTCGGCAAAGGACGTCAAACCATTTTGCTGGCTACAGCGCGAGCCTACTTCTTCGGCCAGGGTCACAAGCAGCGAACATATATGCATATATTATGCGACCCTGGTTCTCTAGTCAGTCTAATTTCCGAAAGTTTGGCTAATAGTTTGGGTCTTTATAGGAGCAAGTGTGAGATCATGGTGGAGGGCATTGGCGCAGTTGCGTGTACGAGAAAAAAGGGTAGCGTCCGCTTTACAATAAAAAGCATATTTTCTCAGTTTGAGCTAGACATTCACGCATTGGTCATTGGTTCGCTTACTTCAGTTACCCCCGCGGTTAGCGTCGATATTGGTCAATGGGGACATTTGACAAATTTTCAATTGGCAGACCCATATTTCGGTACCCCGGGTAATGTCGATGTACTTCTTGGTGTTGATGTCTGGGGTTCGATCGTTGAGAAAGATGTCATACACGGTGGGTGTGACGAACCTCATGCACAACTTACCCGACTTGGTTGGGTTGTATTCGGACCAGCATCAGTTCAGAGCACTTCGAATGCAACAGTTGGAATTTATTGCGCGCAGATTAGAGACCAACCTTATTTAGAGGAACTTATCGGCAATTTTTGGAAGCTTGAAGAAGTACCCGTTACATCTAAGTGCTTGGATGATGAATGCGAGCGGTTCTTTGCCACTACTCACCGCCGTACGGCAGAGGGACGCTATATTGTGAGGTTGCCCCTCCGCCAAGACTGTCAATCATTAGGCGACTCTTACGTCAGCGCCCGGCGCCAGTTATCACGTTTGGAACGACGTTTGACCGCTGATCCGGACATGCATGCAAAATATGTAGCATTTATGAGCGAATATGAGACCCTTGGCCACATGGAGAGAGTTCTTGAGCCATTCGTTCAGCCAGGATGCTATTATATTCCGCACCATGCTGTGGTGGGAAAATTCCGCGTGGTATTTAACACGTCCGCTCCTACTTCGAACGGGCTCTCACTCAACGATTTACAGCTCGTTGGCTCTCCCATTCAAGATTCGTTAATCAACATTATACTCCGTTTTCGACGTTATGCGGTCGCTATCACCGCCGATGTGGAGAAAATGTTTCGCCAGGTACTCGTGGCACCGCAAGATAGAGACTTTCAGCGCATACTTTGGCGTGAATCTCCTTCAGAGGAAGTAATTACTTACCGACTGCCTACTGTCACGTATGGCATGGCGTGCAGTCCTCATAATGCGGTAAGAGCTATGCATCAGTGTGCGTACAATTTTGACAAGATTCACGATCGCAATATGGGCATTATGGCGCGGGACACCATTCTCTCGTCATTCTACGTGGATGATTTCCTTGTCAGTTGCAGCACCGTCGAAGGTGCTATCACTTTGGTATCCAATATCGATAATATATTGACAGCTGGATGTTTTAAGCTGCGGAAGTGGAATTCAAATAGCGCCACTGTCTTAACTCAGATGGGTAGAGACTCATCACCTACAGAGTACAGTATTGATGCAGCCTTGACCTCAGTTTTGGGTCTGCGCTGGAGTCCGGTCGACGACACCTTGCTATTCAATGTGGAACTTAAGCAGCCGACGGCATATGCACCAAGCGCAGTGTACTCAGCGAGGTGGCGAAGCTGTTTGACCCAACGGGATTATTGTCACCGGTCGTGGTTGTCGGTAAGATATTTATTCAAACTCTTTGGTCCGCAGATATTGATTGGGATACTACCCTGACAATTGAGTTGCGGGAAACTTGGCTTAAATTTCGCAATGACCTCAATGCTCTCAATATGTTGTGGACACCTCGTTGGCTTGGGATGAATGAGGAGTCGGCCACCACGCTCTATGGGTTTTGTGATGCCAGTCAAAGGGCATATGCTGCTGTGATGTACGCTAAGACAACCGATCTCCAGGGAAACGTTCACGTGTCTTTAATAACTGCAAGGACTAAGGTAGCACCTCTAAAGGGAGCCACAATACCTCGTTTGGAGCTGTGCGCTGCACTGTTATTATCCGAAACTCTTCGAAACATCAGAGAGGCATTAGGATTGGTCAACCAAGTTGCCTATTTGTGGTCTGACTCGACTATCACCCTCTGTTGGCTGCGAAAGCACCCAGACACGCTGAAACCATATGTATCCAACAGAGTTCGGCAGATACACGAGTTGACTTTGAAGGATGAATGGCATTATGTACGTTCATCGCAAAATCCAGCCGACTGCGCCAGTAGGGGTGTACCGGCTTCAGAACTTTTAAAGCACCATTTATGGTGGAGTGGTCCCAGCTGGCTACGCGACGATAAGGTAGGACCCCCTTTCGAACCTAAACTACATAATGACGATGAAGCTATAGTAAATAGTGAAAGGAGGGTACAGTGTTTAACCGTCACAGCCACTCACACAACTTTGACAACGCGACGTTTAGATGGAGAAATTATTCCGCTTACGGATCGATTCAGCTCGCTGAAGAAAATTCTGGATACTTTAATACTGAGGTGGCTTCCGAGAAGCCGTTGCTTTCGGCATCCCACAATTGATGCACAGATCGAGGAGGCATTAGAGTGGCTTGTGAGGATAGATCAACGGAATGCTTTTCTGAAGGACATTAGGTGTCTGCAGGGTGGGTTAGCGTAAGCAACTTCGAGTAGTCTACTTCCGTTAAACCCTTATCTGGATGATCATGGCTTATTACGGGTTGGAGGTCGCATTACTAAATCTACGTTAATAGAGGCCCATAGGCACCCACCCAATCATTCTTCCGAAGTCGACGGGATTAGTCCGCCTGCTCATTAGACAGGCACATATAGACACTCTTCATGGCGGAACCCAGCTGACTCTTCAAACTCGTCGCTGTCGCTCTTGGATTATACACGGGAGAGTAGCGGTGCGTAGCCTGATTCTCAAATGTGTCATTTGTCGTCGGAACCGAGGTGCTGTCTTAACGCAACAAATGGCTCCGCTACCTCGACATCGTGTCAATGCGACTCGACCCTTCATCGCGTCCGGAGTTGATTACTGCGGTCCGTTCAAGTTGCGTATTGGATCCAAAAGATCACGGACTACGGTAAAAACATACTTAGCTATTTTTATTTGTATGGCCACGAAAGCTGTCCACATTGAGGTGGCTGATGATCTCTCTACGCAGGCTTTTTTAGACGTGTTCACTCTGTTTATTAGCCGGCGAGGTCCCTGCAGGGACTTGTACAGCGACAACGGTACTGCGTTCGTAGGAGCTAATCGCGTTCTGAAGGAGGATTTGGGTGCCTGGCACCACGATCAAAATATCCAGTCCCTCGCTGACTTGGGGACCCGATGGCACTTCACCACGCCGAGCGCCCCCCACCAAGGGGGGTTGTGGGAAGTAGCAGTAAAATCTGTAAAGCGGCACTTAGTTCGCGTAGTGGGCACGCAAGCCTTGTGGTACTCCCAGCTACAAACATTGGCGACTCGCATCGAGGCTTGTTTGAATTCTCGGCCACTCGTACCGTTGCACGATGACTCTGACGAGAGGTATGCACTAACTCCCGCCGATTTTTTAATAGGGTCCCCGGTACTAGCCATCCCAGAGCCAGACGTTTCGGAGATTCCCGCCAATCGAGTGAAGCATTGACAATGGTTACGGCAGATGCACCAGCTCTTTTGGCAACGATGGAATGAGGAGTATTTGGTAACCTTGCAGACTAGGAGCAAGTGGCAACGACGTGTTCCTAACGTAAAGGTGGGTGACATCGTGGTAATACGCCAAGAAAATCTACCACCTACGCATTGGAGGCTGGGACGCGTTACTGAGGTCCACCAGGGCACTGACGGAGCCGTACGAAACGTAACACTTGCAACCACGCACGGGTCTTGCACCAGGGCCGTGCAAAAGCTGTGCGTTCTTATGGAGAATGATAATGAAACTAACGTTCCAACCGGGGAGGATGTCTAAGATTCTACTTTAACTAAAACTGCGCCATTTGAATCGGCCTGTAATTTACTTTTTGCTTTTCTCTATTATTTCTATTCGGAGTAAATTGATCTGTAATTTTTCTGATTTCCTCATTCTCAACTTGGACTTTTAATAAATTGGATGTGCGATTAAGCTGAGCTCACGTTTTTTATTACACAGATATTAAAATAATTCAACGATATTAGTTGCGTTCGCGTAACTATTAATTGTTCAAGTTCAACCAAAACTTGCAGGTTTTTGCGTTCGCGTACGCAAAAAACTTGCAAAGTAGGGGAAATTGAGAGAGCAAAGTGACATTTCATTTTGAGGGGAAGCTGCTAGTTTCTGCTGGAAAAATTTTTGCCAACAGCAAAAAAAGCTGATCAAAAAGAGGTGGTTTGAATTTACGCAAATCACAAAATTTAATTTTAGCATTTTTGAAAACAAATGTGAGCAAATATTACAATATGGAAGAAGTAAGTAGATCTAGTTTTTGTTAAGTTTATATGTATGTGCATATGTATGTATAATAAATTGTGATCTTTTTTACTACGTCTCCAACAAAAGGATATGTATTCCTGTAACGAATGAAGATGAACTTCCAACTAAGCCAGGAAGTACCGCAGAGCAGAATAATGCCTCCATGTCAATAAATCAGGACATTGGAAACTTCGGAGGTATTTTTATAAGCATTTTTCTTTCGGTCTTAAAAACTTATTTTATTTTTCTACAAAAGACGATAATATGGATGCAAAAAAGCAATGGAAAGAAAACAAATTGTTAGTGCGCTTATGATTGCAATGGAATCATATTCATCAGAAAGTGACTGTGAAAGTGAGAACGAAGAGGAGTTAGTGATAATGCAAAAGTTATCAACAAACTACGACTTGTACTCAAATATATTGCTGCTGTTCAGTGAAAGACAGTCCCGTAACTGCGTTTATAATTATATTGAGCAAACAGTGCCAACTTACACTGAAAGGGAATTTAGGATGCATTTCCGAATTTCCAAAAGTCTTTTTGAAAACCTAAGCGAAAGGTTCTTAGTTTCGGATTTTTATTGCAATCTGCGGGGTGACAAAAGACTCTCGGAAAAGACACATTTATTGTTATTTTTGTGGTTTGCTGGCTACGCTGGATGTTGTTACCGAGATTTAGCCGACCGCTTCAATCTGACTCTTTCAAAGATTTGTGTTGCGATTAACAGAGTAACGATGTTCTTAAGCTCCCTAAGTCCACAATTTATTGTATGGCCAACCCAAGAGCAGATGGAGGAATCGAGTAGATTCTTTGATAGGAAATGTTTATTTCCGAGGACAATAGGTGAAATAATCAATTGTCAGTGAACTTGTATATAAATTATATTAATTTAACTCTTTCCGGCACAGTTTTTTGTTGGCAATGATAGAATCGTAAATTTCAATATAGTCTTGTGTCCGGGTTAAAATTAAGCCATGAATGCATTTTTTTGTTAATTACATCAGCGGGGGGGTGAGTTATAAGGTGGTTAGCTATGGTAACCACTGTGAAATAAGTATACAAATTTTTTTTAATTTTATTATTTATTCAAAACAACTATTACATATGTTCATGGTGATAATTAAAACACTCATTTCCTTCCCGGTAGCAAAGAGGTACCTTGCATATTTTACAGCTCCATACAGTACGCACAGGCATGTTTTTCGTGCTACATACACTGCAGCGTCTTGAAGTGCCTCTTATAGTCTGATGATTACCCATAGCAAGCCTTATTGCTGCAGGTACTTCAGGTTTGTGTTTCTTTATATAAGAGCAAGTAGCAATTCATCCAATCCTGACATAGGGCCTTTTTATAGCTCTTTATAGATTGTAAAAGCATTTACCACTATGCAGTCCACAAAATGAAAGAATATGCGGGGCCAACATTTCTTTGATTTGCGGTCAATCGCATAACTACCTTTCAACTGGTCGAATTTATCCACGAAATTCATATTTTCATTATAGTCTTTCAAGGATAGAGGGCATGGTACTTCGACTATTTCTACAGTTTTTTCTGTTCTTCTCACATGAACCTCATTTCTGGGATCGTGAATTCAAAATGAAAACACAGCGTTTATCTTTCCATTTCATAAAGGAAACCATCTGATTGTCACTGACTCTGACTTATCCGATTTCAAAGTAGGAAGATGTTTATGAGATTCGTTTACAGTTCCACATGCATATATGTTTTTCTGACGTAAATCGACTTGCAGTTCGTAGCTGTTAAAATAATTGTCAAAGTACACCTTATGGTTTTTATCTTCTAATACCTCACAGAATTTTCTGACAACATTGCCTTCTAAATTAGTCTCCACTTTATTTCCGACTTTTCCTGAATATATATGAAAATCTAAACAATTGCCAGAAGAAGCACACTTCGTCCATACCTTGTACCCCCTTTTTATTGGCTTTTTCGGCATATACTGCTTCAAACAGCTTCTACCTTTAAATTTTATCATTGATTCATCAATAGCAATTTTTTCTGTGCGATTGTAATTTTTCTTGTAAGATTCTCGTAGCATTTCTATGAAAGGGCGTATCTTATATAACTTATCGTAATGGGGATTGTTTCGTGAGGGCAACAGGTTATTGTCATTTAGATGGAAATTTCCAAGAATCCATGAGAAACGGCTGAGTGACATAAAATGTGCTATGTATTCGTCACGCAAATCAGGTGAGGATGACCAGTAGTCTCTATAGCTTGGACTTTTTTTCACGCCCATTATTAAGTTCAGAGCAATAAAAACCGACATCTCATCTGCAGCAACT